ATACATTATCTCAATAACTGGCTTTTTTGGGGTATGATTTCCAAGGTGCGTCAACATCAGCAAGTTCGTTTTCCCATCCTGCACCACCTACATATGGTAGCCATTCAACAGGATGCTTCGGAAATGCCAAGAGTACTGTTCAAAAGGCATGTTCAGAAATGCAAATTGTTAAAGGCATACTTTAACTAGGTGATAAAGAAAAGGAAGACGATCAAAACAAGGGAGATGGCTGGAAGGCCATGGAATTAGTGATTCTTCACTGCATAGTACGGCGGAGATACAGAAGAAAATTCTGCAGCTATTGTGCATGCCCAAAAAGCAAATGCACCCTTTTGTAACTTTGGTCCTTGCAGCTGTTTGATGTTATGCACCACAGGGTGATATTCTAGCAAGAGGACAGGAAAGTTTGGGAAGACAGTGCTTGCCTCTGAGTATCTCTACACAGTGAAATTCTGAAATTTTGCCCCTTTCTGCCCCTCCTCTTTTTGAGTTTCTCTTAGATAAAAACAGAACTCACTACAAACTGATTCCAAATTCCTAAAAAAAAGTGGAAAAGAAACAGACTGGATTTCTGGGAGAAATTGGGTAAAGTAAAATTAAGAAAGTTTCTCTTAACTACAAACCTTACCTAATTTCTTCTAAAAGTAAAGCCTCCCCAAAGTTTAAAAATAGAACAATGAAGATAGTGGCTAAGGAGAAGAATGCACCTGCGTACTGGGATGGGGACCCTACTCCTGCAGAAAAGCATTAATGATTTGGGGGGGGGGGGGGTTAAACCCCCTTCTTTTTGCCTGCTTCTCCAAACCTGACCAGCTTTTTTGGAAGCAGATGAGCCCGCCTTAGGAAAACTGCTGGAAAAGTCTCGTTGGTGAATTCTGAGGCGTCATTAACATCCAGCTTTAAGTGAATGTTTAACAGTAAATAAAGGTTTCTCTTGATTGTAATTGTCGGAACAAAGCAACGATAATGCAGTGGATGGTCATCACGCAAGACAGACGACGCCTGCTTATCGCTGTGTGCCTCAGAGCCTGAGATTGCCAGGGAGGTTCGATGGGGGGAAATCAGGCCCACGTTTAGACCGCCGGTCCTGCTGCGGTCCAGAGACCTGATCCCATGCATACTGACTCAGAAGGAAGCCCAGAGGTGAGCACTGGGGCTTCTTTGCAGGCAAAGGTGCTGGGCTTTGCAGCTTCCCCCTGAGTAGGGTGAGAGGGAGGAGAAGAAATCGGCTCTTACACGGATGATTAAAACCAAGCGTTTTTTGTTCTCCTCCACCTCTGGGGTCTCAGAGCACCCCACTGCAATGGGTCAGCCTCCATCCCACTTGTCCCTGGCCAGCAGCAGAAGGAGAAAGACAGCCAGTGCCGGGCACATACTCCTTCCCCACTGACCAGCCAGCTTGCCGCTCACTCTGCTGGCCAGCCCTTTGCGCGAGCTGGGGCTGAGCTGGCTGTGCAGACATGTGCTTCCTGATAAGGAAGCATGTGCCTGGCCAGCGCTGCATCCCCCCCATCACCCCAGATAATTCAGGCTGGTGGGCAGCAGGGGAGGGGGCCAGGGGGACCAGGAGATGGGGGCACTGCAGATTTGGGAGGGGGAAACTGCCCTCACCCCTGGCTAGCTATGGCCCTGTTGAGCCAGCCAGTGTCTCAGAGTCTAACCTATCCCACCCCACAGGGTTGTTGCGAGGATAAAAATGTTGACAGAAGAACCAAATTTCTGTCCTAATCTTTTTGGAAGAAGAGCAGGATTTAAAAACAACAACAACATGATCGGTAGCTTGAACCTTGCTGAAGCTTGTTGTCCGTGTTAGCTGTATTTCACACAACAAATGCAGTTGTTTGATAATCATCTTGTCTCTGTTACTGTTTCCCGACAGAAATGGAATGTTCCCAGCCAAAAGGGAACATTCCTTCCTCTTTCCTTGTATTTTCAGTCAGTTACTATTTATGTTATAGTTGTGATAGTCACTGAGGCCCAAGTTTCCAAGCCTACTTACAAGAGCCAAGATTTGTAATTTATACTGAATTTCCTAGAAAAATAAAACCAGGCAAGGTTCCCTTGCTCGAAAGCCAGTCGAATCCGACTCTAGGGTTACGGTGCTCATCTCCGTTTCAAAGCCGAAGAGCCAGCGCTGTCCGAAGATGTTTCCGTGGTCATGTGGCCGGCATGACTAAACACCAAGGCGCGCGGAACGCTGTTACCTTCCCACCGAAGCAGTACCTATTTATCTACTTGCAATTTCTTGCTTTCGAACTCCTAGGTTGGCAGGAGCTGGAACTAGAGACGGGAGCTCACTCCATCATGCGGCACACTCAGGTCTCGAACTGCTGAACTACCGACCTTCCACAACCTGCAGTTCAGCATCTTAACCACTTGAGCCACCGCAGCTCCAAAACCAGGCAATGAGATAGGAAACTGAGATGGAAGAGCTGTGGGTCAGTGGCAGAGCATCTGCTTTGCCCACAGAGGGTCCCAGGTTCAATCCCTGGTATCTCCAGTTAAAACGGATCAGGTAATAGGTGATGTGAAAGACCTCTGCCTGAGACCCTGGAGAGCTGCTGCCAGTCTGAGTAGACAATACTGACCTTGATGGACCAAGGGTCTGATTCAGTATAAGGCAGCTTCATGTATACAGACATCTTATTTCAGTGGTGTGAAGGAAGTGTCCCTTTTTGTATCTCTCTAACTGCTGCCATTTCAAGAAATCCAGCTGCAGATCTTTTCATATATGAAATGTTATAAAGCCAGTTCTTTAACAAATAACAGTTTATTTACTGGGATACTCACATCAAGAGCTACAGACTGCTTTGCCCAGGATTTATTTACTTGGTCATACATTATGGTATTGTTGATGCCCAGGCCGCAAAATATAACAAATGCCTAAAAAAACAAAAACAATGTAGCAGGTTACCTTCAAAATGCAACACAAGTTCACTTCCTAAGAGATTCTTCAAAAACCTGACAACTTGAGATGGCAAATGTTTAGAACAGAACGTAATGACCATTAACTTCAGCGTGCCTCTTTCAAAATGCTGCTTGTATCAGTGTCTTGATTTCACAAAGCTCTGAGACTGTTGAGCTTCCAGCACAAATAATTAGGCCTTGGATTAGTTTTCTCACTATCACCTACACGTAAAACAAGTACAGCTCCAAAGCATGGAAGAACTAGGAAAGTGAGAAACAACTTATTCTTTAGAACTGCATCCGCAAACCCAGAAAGACTAATTCCTGAGTCTGCACAGGACTTTTTTCATAACCAGAATACTTTCCTCTGTCTCTCTTCTCCTTTCTCCAACTGCAAAACAGAAAGGAGTCTAAAAGCACACACGAGGTCACTGAGCCTACACTGTTACCCCTTTCAAAACTACTGCTTTAATTTTTGGGTGCTCTCAGGCTGGTTAAAAAGTGGCATCAGTATCAGATCCCCTGCACCCATTATACATGACTGGGGGAGCAAGCCCAAATAGGTCTACTCAAAAGTAAGTTCCATTTTAATGCAGTGGGGCTTACTCCCAGGAATGTGTTTTCAGGACTGCAGCTTTTGGGTGTAGTGAAACCGTCTGCTCTGCAATGGTGATTGTAAATATGGATGTGCAAAAAAAGGTATTACTTGGGTTCGAGTATACTGAACCTGAAAAATATTGGTGTTTCCCATTATTCCCAAATCCCAGTACTGGTATGGTATTTGGATTCGGTAAATATTTAGGGTTCTCAAATTTTTTTGGGGGGGGAGAGAGGATCAGCTGCAACGGTAGCAACTGAGAGCTCCATTCCACTCCAGCCAGTTCTAGGCTGGCTCCTCTTTGCAGCTTGAAACTGAGCTGCAAAGAGGAGCCAGCCCCAGTCGAGGTGGTGCAGAGCTGTCAGCTCCCACCACCTCATTCGATACTGGGCTGGATCCTCTTTGCAGTTCGGTTTAAACCAAATTGTAAAGAGGAGCCAGCCCCAGCTGAGGGTTCTCCCTGCATGCTCTGCTGGGTAGCTCAGTTTAGACTGGACTGCCCAACAGAGCCCACCAAGGAGCTGATCCTGCAGGGATGGTTCTCCCCAAGGGCTCTGCTGGGCAGCCCAGTTTAGACTGGCCTGGCCAACAGACCTGGCCATCCTTCATTGTTTCCAATAGAGGAAAAAGGCATTTAAAGGGCTCATGGTCCCTTTAAATGCCTTTTGCAAGCCCTGAGTAAACGCTGAAGGCATTTAAAGGGCTTGCGGCCCCTTTACGTGCCTTCTCAAGCAGCAAGTTCACCCAGAAGGTGTTTACAGGAACTACAATCCTCTTAAATACCCTTTACCTTCAGCTATCCAGTGGTCCTGAAAAATTCTGAATATTTTTGGGATTTTTCAGGTCAGCCACTTTCAGATAGCGGCATAAATACTGAACTCTATATCCAGCTGGAAAAATATCAATAAGCAGTGTTCCCTCTAAGCTGAGTTAGGGTGAGCTAGCTCACAGTTTTTTAGCCTCCAGCTCACACATTTTTGTCTTAGCTCAGGAAGGATGGCTCCAGAGCAAACTAATTTCTGCAGTAGCCAAATCACTCACTCACAACTTTAATGCCAATAGCTCACAAAGTAGAATTTTTGCTCACAAGACTCCATAGCTTAGAGGGAGCATTGCCAATAAGGTGTTTAAAAAAAAAAATTCCAGCTCAGTATAGGCCGAATGCACACCCCTAATTAGGAGGTAGTAGTTGTTCCAGATTAATACAAATCAGATCTGTCTACCACTTATCTTAATGTGCCCTTTACTCAGAAAGGAATTTGCACCCACTAAATTTGCTACACTGATATAATGGCACAAGTCATTCTGGTTGCTGTTGCACTTTTAAAATTAAGTTATAAGCCTAATTACAGATAATTTATAGAATTGTCTATTTCCTTTTATACACAAGCAGATAGTCTGAAAAGAACATGTACTATGTACAAGTAATGTTGCAAATAGTAACCTAGAAGTAAATTCCACTAAAATCAATAGTATTAATGCAGCAATGGTGAAATTAATAATTCAGTTGAAAAACAGTTTAGTTATGAAATCTGAAATGTAAAACATTAAATATAATTGTATCCAAGTAAGTTCTATAATATTTTGTGAACAGTGCCCCCCAAAACTTTCAATGTAATAAAGGGGGTGTTGGGGAGAAATATTTTCTATTGCATATATTTTGTTATATATAATTGTTTTTAATATATATAATTATTATATGTAATCACTTGTTCATTTCTGTATTTGCTTTTTATTGCCTCTTTGTTCTGCAAAAATAAATATATTTTAAAGATAATATTTACTACCACATAACTGTGCTTGGGAAATACAAGGTATATAAATACAAGAAATCAGAGGATACACCAAAGCAGTATGGGGTCAGAACTGCCCCCCCAAAAAAAAACACCAAACAAAACCCCCCCCAGCTCATATAAGATTTCAATCAATCTGTGTGTTAGGATATGAATAAATGGTGGCAGCATGTGACTGAAGTACAGTGACAGTCCCAGTTTGTGAAGGGCTTAAGTGAGGGGTAGCTGATAATGGTGACTGGGCTGCTCTGTACGGTAGTATTTCTGGGACGAGAGAGGGGACCTAGTGTGTGAAAGGGTCAGGGCTCTCTTTGTATTTAGAAGAGACAAGATGGGTGGTGTTCTGTGACTGTCTGACCTATCTGTATCCCTGAACCTGTGTGACACAGCTTGAGGTTGATGATAGGGTCTGGGGGTGGGGGTAAAGAATGTTTTTTGTTTCCATTATGGTGGCACCCAGGTTTTTTGAGAGTGACTGGTGGGATGTAAGATACAAAAAACCTGAAAGCTACTGCCCTAGGCAACCACCTTGAATATTCATTAGGAAACAGCTGTTTTTTAAAGGAAGCAGTTTCTAGCTTTCGTGGTGGCATAGCTAACTTGGAAAATATGATTATAACCAGCAAACTTTCTTAAATGCAGATAAAAGCCCTGTTTCTCTATGTGCATGCTAAATGTACATAAAATGGAGTGGAATTGTGCCCACTGGCCCTGCCCCCCTCCCCCGAAACCACCACTGGAAATTTCTGTGAATGGAAATAGTTTCTATCCACGGAGGGTAGCTTTCTTGTCTCCACTATCGTGGTCCCAAATGCCTCACAAAATGTTGTTGGGGGGCGGACAGACCCCCAGTAACAGCATTGGGGGAGTTATGTGCCAAGAGCTGGAGAGGGTTCAGGGGAAAATCCCCAGTTCTGCCTGCATAAATATTCTATGAAATTTCATTTATTTATTTGCTTGGATTTGTACCCCACCCTCCCTGCCAAGGCAGGCTCAGGGAGCCTGGAAGCAGAAAGTTTTAAAAATGCTTAATTTGGATCGTGACTACAATTTATAGTACATTAATTACAGATCTCTTTGGCAAAATTAACATTTCTTACCTCAAAGAGTCGCTGGTCAGCATCATCAAAAGGTTTCCCATCAAGCCTGTTCAACACTTGGGCTACCCCTATAGAAAGAGTTGCTAAATGTAGTTCATGTTATAAATTCATTTATGACACCTGATGCTGTGTTAGTTACTAGCATATTAACTGAAGCTGTTCATGATTCAGTTCAATCGAACAGGGCTAAATACTAGTATATAATAATAGCGTATAATGGTGCTTTATTGGTTATCACCTGTCATAAATCCTTTATGATATGAGTGGCAAACTCAAGACCTTATACATAATGGCTTACAGTCAGTGATGCACAGGCAGGAGCATCAGTGAACTTTAGGCAGTTCTACTTGCACAGGATCTTGTGCAATATCTATCACTTTCTTCCCCACATATTTCTGGTATTTCTGCCCACTGTGTGACACAGAGTGTTGGACTGGATGGGCCTTTGGCCTGATCCACCATTGGCGTCTCTTATGTTCTTATTATAGTGCCCAGAATTTAATTGCACAAGATCTTGCAGAAGCAGAAATGCAAGTGGGGAATACAATAAG